TGCCCCAGCACCCTGGGCTGGAGCAGGGGCAGCCGAGGCTGCCAGAGGGGCAGGGAGAGGGGCTTGGGGCAGCCCCACGGGGCTCTGAGGGGCAGCAGAGGGGGCAGCTTTCACAGGAGAGGTGAGAGCTGCAGGGGGAGAACCGGGGCTGACGGGGGGAGCGACGGGGGCCACCAGCACTGCAGCAGGAGCAGCACCCAGAACGGGAGACACTGGGGCTGGGAGTCCTGGTGACACTGGGCTAACTGGGAGTTAGCCCGAGAGAGGCAGGAGAGAGCCTGGCTGTTCCCAACAGCACCCTGAACGTCACCCATCACGGGGAAGAGGTGCGGCCTGAGCCAGGGAGGGCAACACCACACGGTGACCTGCGCTCCCCCTGTGCAAGCTGTTAGGGTTTAACAGAACTGCAACCCCCCAGAACAGCAAACTGGTTAATGAGGCACACGAGGTGTTAACGAGGGAGGTGTTAACGAGGGATGAAGGGAGTACCTGGCGATGGCACAGGAGCAGTAACAGGGGCTGCGGGAGGAAGGGCAGCTGGAGCTGAACGGGTGAGAACAACAAGTTTTAATTATTAAGGCAAGTTCTGCCAACCCAGAGCACTCACCGTCCTGCTCCCCTGGCACACGCTTTCACAGCAGAGGTGAGAGCTGCAGGGGGAGAACCGGGGCTGACGGGGGGAGCGACGGGGGCCACCAGCACTGCAGCAGGAGCAGCACCCAGAACGGGAGACACTGGGGCTGGGAGTCCTGGTGACACTGGGCTAACTGGACTGGGCCCTGGAGATCCCGGGGCTGCAAAACCCATCGGGGACTGAGGAACCGGAGGAGGGGAAATGGTAACTGGGACCTGCAGAGCTGGGGAGGGGAGCTGGGGGGGCCCAGAAAACACAGGGATCGCCGCAGCTGGGACCACTGGGGGGGAAACGGGGGCTGGGGGGCCAGCAGGGCTGGGCAGCTCCACTGGGAGAGCCTGACCCACGGGGCCCGGAGATGGAGTCAGAGGTGGGGAATGAGCAGCATGAAGAAGAGCTAAAGGAGAGAAACAGAGTGAACTGATGAGAGAATGGAGATGGGGGGGGGGGAGCCCTGGTCTCCCCCCAGCCTTTGTGCCAGCTTCTGGAGCTGCAGACAAACATCCCCCAGGACCTGCCAGGCCCAGCACAGACTGGGATGTCCATCTGCCTCTAGAAACCAGTTTACAGAGAACACTGTGCTGGCATGCGAGCTAAACTGAGGGGCACGAGTGACAGAATTAAAAAACCTCGATGCCAGGATCAGTAATTGCCACCCCAGGTTTGTGGCCAAATCCCTGGCACGGCAGGGGTTGCCACCACCTTCGTGGGGGGGCTGCTCCTGATCCTGGGAGAAATCTGGGCTGGGGAGAACAGGGGGGTGATGAGGACCCATGTGAGGATGGGAAGGAAAAGTCAAATTTTAACACACAGGCATGCGGAACTGTTCCAGGAGCGGGCAGAGGGCAGCCCCTCTGGGCAAGGCAGGTGCCCTTTAGGGACAAGGACACCGAGGCACAGGGGGGGTGGCATCACCCACACCGAGGGGCTGGGACCCTAAATCCTGGCTGCCACTGAATTTCACTGAATTTTCGAGTTGGAAGGGACCATAGAGATCATCTAGTCCAACTCCCCTGCTGAAGCAGGATTGCCCAGAGCATGTTACTCAGGAGCATCCAGGCGGGTCTTGAAAATCTCCAAGGAAGGGGACTCCACACCCTCCCTGGGCAGCCTCTGCCAGGGCTCTGCCACCCTCACCGTGAAGAAGTTTCTCCTCATATTTGAGTGGAACCTCTTCTGGTCCAACTTGTGCCCGTTGCCCCTCGTCCTCTCACTGGGAACCACTGAAAAGAGTCTGGTTCCCTCCTCCTTCAACCCACCCTTGAGATACCACACGGTGACCTGCGCTCCCCCTGTGCAAGCTGTTAGGGTTTAACAGAACTGCAACCCCCCAGAACAGCAAACTGGTTAATGAGGCACACGAGGTGTTAACGAGGGAGGTGTTAACGAGGGATGAAGGGAGTACCTGGCGATGGCACAGGAGCAGTAACAGGGGCTGCGGGAGGAAGGGCAGCTGGAGCTGAACGGGTGAGAACAACAAGTTTTAATTATTAAGGCAAGTTCTGCCAACCCAGAGCACTCACCGTCCTGCTCCCCTGGCACACGCTTTCACAGCAGAGGTGAGAGCTGCAGGGGGAGAACCGGGGCTGACGGGGGGAGCGACGGGGGCCACCAGCACTGCAGCAGGAGCAGCACCCAGAACGGGAGACACTGGGGCTGGGAGTCCTGGTGACACTGGGCTAACTGGGAGTTAGCCCGAGAGAGGCAGGAGAGAGCCTGGCTGTTCCCAACAGCACCCTGAACGTCACCCATCACGGGGAAGAGGTGCGGCCTGAGCCAGGGAGGGCAACACCGGTTTGACCAGTGTAACCAGCACCGTAACCGGCACCGCTGCCAGTTGGGAGAGCAGAACCAGCTCTGCCACACACCCACCCTTCAGCAGCTCCAGCCCCACACCTGGCATCCACCCCAAAACGCAGAGGCAGCACGTCCCAGCTGGTGGGGAGGACGAGGGGACAGCAACCGGGTGGCTGCTGAGGAGAAGCCACAACCCTGGAGCCCAAACACAGTCCGGGTGGCAGAGGCTGCATGGCATTGAGGGAGGAAGAGTCTCCTCCTGCCCCCCCGTGGGGCACTGGCTGTCCCCCAGCAGCCACATTCCACTCCACATGGGTCATCCACCCACCCACAGCAGGGCCAGCCCTGCCCGTGTGCCCATGTGGGGCAGCAATACGTGTGTGCGACTCACCGCAGCCTCCCCTCTGGGTGTCGTCCCTTTCTTTGCCCCAAGAAGGTGCTTCTAATGCCCCATTTCCCCAACCCCATCCCAAAAACACAGTGTGGTGGGAGGAGACAGGCACCAGCCCGGAGCTGGGCAGCCACTCAACGAGTGCCGGACGCCAGCGCCTCGTGCCAACGGGCACCAGGATGTTTCCTGTGCCGGGGAACTCACTGGTGCCTCAAGAAGGAACGACAACTCCTGCCAAGAGCTGAGCTGGTCCTGAGCTTGTCACAGGACGGGTGACAACAGCCTGCTCCTTTACCCCTGCCAGCTCTGCCAGCTCCTCCTCCACGGGCACCGTTCCAGGACACCCCTGCGATAGGCACGATATTCCCAACTCACCGTAGCTCCGCTGACGGCTCCACCTCCGCGACGGAAGGTGACACACAGGACCCTCCACGAGCACACACCATTTTCCAGGGCTCCCCACCTGAGAGCTGAGCCCCCCCCTGCACTGCTGGGTTAGAGACCAGCCTGCCCGACCCCACCAGCTTTCCACGGAGCAGCCCGACCTCCAAAGAGTAAGATGAACGTCAAAGGAGGCCGATGGCTCCCACACACGGGGTGATTCCCTGCCCTGAGCCAGCACCCCCGGCTCCTCTTGTGCTGCAGGAACAGCTCAGCAGAGAGGGGGTAACAACCATAGAATGGTCTAGGTTGGAAGAGACCCTTGGGATTTCACTGAATTTCACTGAATTTTCGAGTTGGAAGGGACCATAGAGATCATCTAGTCCAACTCCCCTGCTGAAGCAGGATTGCCCAGAGCTTGTCAGAGCACGTTACTCAGGAGCATCCAGGCGGGGCTTGAAAATCTCCAAGGAAGGGGACTCCACACCCTCCCTGGGCAGCCTCTTCCAGGGCTCTGTCACCCTCACCGTGAAGAAGTTTCTCCTCAGATTTGAGTGGAACCTCTTCTGGTCCAACTTGTGCCCGTTGCCCCTCGTCCTCTCACTGGGAACCACTGAAAAGAGTCTGGCTCCCTCCTCCTTCAACCCTCCCTTGAGATACTTGTAGGCATTGAGAAGGTCTCCCCTCAGCCTTCTCTTCTCCAGACCAAAGAGTCCCAGCTCTCTCATCGAGTCCAACCATCTCCCCTACTCTACAAAGTCCTCCCCTACACCATGTCCCTCAGCACTGCATCTAAACGGCCCTTCAACACAGCCAGGGATGGGGACTCCACCCCCTCCCTGGGCAGCCTCTTCCAACGCCCGACCACTCTTTGGGTGAAAAAGTCCTTCCTAATGTTCAATCTAAACCTCCCCTGTTGGAGCTTGAAACCATCACACACCCCCTTTGCCTCCACCCCAACCCCATGGCTCCTCTGCTGCTGCCCGTGTCGCTCCCCTGGAGCCCCCCATGTCCCCCCAGGGCAGGGGGAGCAGCTTCTTTAACAGCATTTGCTGCTCATGGTCAGACACCATCATTAGAGCCTTGAACAACAGAGCTCCAGGAGGAGAAAAGACACAAGTTGTCACCTGAGACCAAGAGTAAATCTGTCCAGGGAGGGGGGGACCCCAGGAAGTGGCCCCACCCCAGGAATCCCAGCTATTCCTGGAGAGACACCAGAAGCCCCACAGCTCCCCGGGGCCCCCCAGCCCAGCTGTCACCCCGACAGCCGGCACCGGGGGCCACAGCCCCCAGGGAAGCTTTGTGCCAGCAGCTCCTGACCACCAGGAAACCCCCCAACCACCAGGAAACCCCCTGCTTCTCCTGTGCACCCCAAATCCTACAGGCCTTTCAGACAACGCACGGCGTGGCTCCCCCAGGCCGGGTGACAACACCTGGTGACACACTCCCCTGGTGTGTCCCTGCACCCAGGATGGTCACAGAATCACAGAATCTTCTAGGTTGGAAGGGACCTTCAAGATCATCTTGTCCAACCGTCAACCTCATTTTGACAAAAATAGACACCCCCACAACAAACAAGGAGCATCATCACTAAACCAGACCTCCCAGCACCACATCAACCCGGCTTTTGAACACCTCCAGGGATGGGGCCTCAACCCCCTCCCTGGGCAGCCCATTCCAAGGGCTGAGAACCCTTTCAGGGAAAAAATTGTTCCTAATATCCAGCCTGAACCTCCCCTGGCGCAACTTGAGGCCATTTCCTCTCGTCCTGTCGCCTGGGACTTGAGAAAAGAGACCGACCCCCATCTCTCTACCCCCTCCTTTCAGGGAGTTGGAGAGAGCAAGAAGGTCTCCCCTCAGCCTCCTCTTCTCCAGGCTGAACACCCCCAGCTCCCTCAGCCTCTCCTCATCAGACTTATTCTCCAGACCCCTCACCAGCTTTGTCGCCCTTCTCTGGACCCGCTCCAGCCCCTCAATGTCTTTTTTATGGTAGGGGGCCCAAAACTGGACACAGCACTCGAGGTGAGGCCTCACCAGTGCCCAGTACAGGGGGACCATCACCTCTCGGGCCCTACTCCCCACGCTGTTCCTGACACAGGCCAGGATGCTGGTGGCCTCCTTGGCCACCTGAGCACACTGCTGGCTCATCTTCAGCCCACAGTTGACCAACACCCCCAGGTCCTTTTCCATGGGGCAGCTCCAGCCCCTCTGCCCCCAGCCTGGAGTGTCCATGGGGTTGTTGTGACCCCGAATCCCGGTGCCACCCCCCCCCCGGGACAGTGTGAGGGCGACGCAGTGACACTCCCCGGCCCCAAAGTGACTTTCCAACACGGAGCCACACGTTGTCTTCCCAAAACCCCAGCAGCTCCGGAGCACAAAGGGATTGGTGACTCCTCTGCGTGTCTCCAAACGTCCCGGTCACCGCTCGGCCAGACCCCGACCGGGCCACGGCCCTTCTCCTCCCCCCACCCCCCGGTTCCAGGACCCGAAACGGGGCCGTACAGAGCGTGGCTGATGTAACACCCTCCCAAAATTTTGGGACACGAGGGACCGCCACCCTGCACGGCCTGAGGTGGGAAACTGCCAAAAAAACACGGATTTGGGTCGGCCGAAGCGGCACCGAGGCCCCAAATGCCCCGGGGCAGAGCGGAGGGGACCGGGGGGGGGGGCCTCACCCAGCCCCCGGGTCCTCGCCCACCGAGAGCCCCTCCCCGGGCCCCGCGGGGCAGCGGCTCCCCCTTTTCCCCCTTGTAAGGCGACCGAGCGCCCCGAAGCCCGTCGTCCCCGTCCCCCCCCCGCCGTCCCCGGTCTCACCTGTCTCAGCCTGCGGCTGCGGCAGCTCCTGCTCGGTGGCCGGGACGGTTTCTGTCGCTTCGCCGGGCATTTCTGGGGAAAGGGAAAACCCAACAGGCGCGGGCTCGCCGGGGCTCCGGACAGACCGAGGGCGGGCGCCGGTAACTCGCCCTTCCCAAAGCCACCCCCGAGTCCCCCGCCCAGACACCGAACGCCTCCTCCCGGTACCGACAGCTCCTCGGTATCCGGACACCCCGGGCCCAGCGGGACCCGAGCGCCGCACGCCACGGGCCGGTCCCACCCTCTCCTGCAGTCCCACCGGGGCTGCCAACGGGGCGGAGGAGTTGGCCTCCCCCAGCGGCCCTAAGCGAGGCCTCGGCCGCCTCTGCC